CTGCTTTATGTCAGCCACATGGCTTTACGAAGTCGAGTTTGTTTTAGTCATTCTGTATTTCAAAACAGTCTATTCAGCTTTTTTTCTGGTTTTGTATTTGGTGAATGTGTTAACTGAGCGATTTGTGTCCAGCCTGTCTCAGAAGCAGCTGCCATGCCACAAATGGATGGCACTGGTGCTGGAGGACTGCTCACTGGCCTACATGTTGGCTGCATCCCTTTAGGGCAGTATTTGCAAGGTGTGCTGCCCTTAAAACTGATGCATTAAACTGGGGGTTGGAGCAGTAGAGATAATTTCTCACCAGTGCCCTTCAAGACTATGAAACTCTTAAATCTCTGCCTTCTGCAGCTGCTTTTTACAATGAATATGTTTTCTGCTCCCATCTTTTCTGTGCCAATGTTCCAGTCTCCGTAAGGCAAGCAAGAGTGAGTACTGGCAGGATGAGTGGTCTATGTTCCGCCTTGGGGGGCTGCTGGATGCCAGCCAGCAAAATGCCGTTTGCAGCTCCAAATGCTTGTGGCTGTCCTTGCCCAGCTGGAGCTCACAAGTCACCAGTGGGAGATTTCCTCTTGTAAGTTCACCTAAATGGCAGACTTTCATTTCCCCTCCCACCTTACTCCGAGTGGGTTCGAGACATTAAAAGAACCTTTGTTAAACCAGAAAGCATTCTCCAGTCTGATGGGGCTCCCGGTTGCTTCTTGGGAGCAGCAACTGGGAGAAGAGTCCAGTAACTGGGAGCACAGAGCCCAGCGTGTCCCAACAGGAACCGGCTTGTTTGATGGGACAGCAGCCACACCCAGTGCCTGGCAATGGACTAGGCTGGCAGGGCCCCACCAGGGCATGTGTTGCTTCTGCTCCTCTGCTTCCTGCAGCATCCCGCTGGGTCCTGCTGCTGGTAGCCAGGCGCAAGAAGGATAGGAAAATAAAGTCCCTGGGCACAGACGTCCAACATAATCCCGTTTGTTGGCTGTGACCAGTTAGGTGAACCATGCCCAGTGCAATGCCCTCTGCTGTTTTAAAGTCACAAAAGTGTAGCATCATCCTAACTCTGAGTGCTAGTCTCGTAATGGCAGTGACACTGGTGGGCACAGGGACAGCTGGGTGAAGTGGGTATGCAAGTGGGCTGGGGTCAGAGGCTGTTTTGGGAAAATGCTTTCCACCTGTGGAAGCAGTCCCCAAATTCAGAGAAAACAACGTACTGTCTCCCTCTCCTGTCACCACTGAACCCCAGTCCTGATCATTCCACTGTGAGTTCCTTCCTGCCCCAGTTCCTCCAATTTTTGCTTCTTCCTCCTGCTGCAGAGCACCTTCTGAGCTCTCCCTGCAAGCCACACTTAGAATTCAGAGCAGAGAGGCTGTGGCCCTGGCTCTGCAGCTGCAGGGCAGGCATCCACAGAACCCTGCTTGTACCATTGGGCAGAGAGGGTGCAGCTGGGAATTGCTGGAGTGCTGGGAGCGTGGGCAGACTGATCCCAGTGCCCCTGGAGTCTGAGGAGTCACTGCCTTCTCCTCTTGTGAGAGGAAAACTTGCCCATTTAACCAGTGCAAAATGCAGAGGTCAGGAGATCCCTTTGCATCCTGCCACTGTGCAGGCACTATGCAGCAAAGCTTCCCTGAGCATGCCACTGAGCACCTCTGCCAGCTTGGCCAGTCTCCTCCTAGTCCTCTCCAGTGTTGAGTGAGCACAGGTTAGTGAAGCAGCACAACCAAACTACAGTCGCTTCTTCTAAATAACCTGGGAATGTGCCATGAGTCTGAAGCATTATTTCTGCTTTTTTTAGCAGTCATGTGTTGTGGAATTCACAAGGTTGATTGTGATGGCCACTGCATTTTTGAGCTCTCTAAGTCACTTGTGCCCCTTCTCAAGGGGCTCCCCCAGAGCAGTGTACCCTCCACCTGGGGGCCTGGGGGTCTCTGCAACAAATGTGAGGCCGTAGCATTTGCGAGGTAGGACACACAAGCACACCCAAATGGAGGAGAAGGGGAGGGTACAGCAGCCAAATCCTTAAGGGGTGATCCCCAGACTGGTATTTATGGTTGATGCTTTGTATCTGTCGTGGTTTTAAACCAATAACTAAGAAAATTACTTATTTCTTGCTGTGAGATATGGATTAGAACAAGAGCAAAACAGGCATAAAACTTAAAAGGAAAAAAAAAAAGAAAGTTTATTGACAAACTACAATAAGAACACCAGAATAAACTTCCAGAAAAACCTTTTCATCCCCTGTCTACCCACTATTCCCTTGTTCACATGACAAAAGAGACAAAAACTTTGGAACTTTGATGGTTAAAACA